GAGAAATAAGAGGGCCAGCGGGGAGGCAGAAGTTCAACAGGGGGGAAATAAGAGGGCCAGCGGGCAGGCAGAAGTTCAACAGGGGGAGAAATAAGAGGGCCAGCGGGCAGGCAGAAGTTCAACAGGGGGGAAATAAGAGGGCCAGCGGGCAGGCAGAAGTTCAACAGGGGGAGAAATAAGAGGGCCAGCGGGCAGGCAGAAGTTCAACAGGGGGGAAATAAGAGGGCCAGCGGGCAGGCAGAAGTTCAACAGGGGGAGAAATAAGAGGGCCAGCGGGGAGGCAGAAGTTCAACAGGGGGAGAAATAAGACGGCCAGCGGGCAGGCAGAAGTTCAACAGGGGGAGAAATAAGAGGGCCAGCGGGCAGGCAGAAGTTCAACAGGGGGAGAAATAAGAGGGCCAGCGGGGAGGCAGAAGTTCAACAGGGGGAGAAATAAGAGGGCCAGCGGGGAGGCAGAAATTCAACAGGGGGAGAAATAAGAGGGCCAGCGGGGAGGCAGAAGTTCAACAGGGGGAGAAATAAGAGGGCCAGCGGGGAGGCAGAAGTTCAACAGGGGGAGAAATAAGAGGGCCAGCGGGGAGGCAGAAGTTCAACAGGGGGGATAAGAGGGCCAGCGGGGAGGCAGAAGTTCAACAGGGGGAGAAATAAGAGGGCCAGCAGGGAGGCAGAAGTTCAACAGAGGGAGAAATAAGAGGGCCAGCGGGGAGGCAGAAGTTCAACAGGGGGGAATAAGAGGGTTAGCGGGCAGGCAGAAGTTCAACAGGGGGAATAAGAGGGCCAGCGGGAAGGCAGAAGTTCAACAGGGGGGAAATAAGAGGGCCAGCGGGGAGGCAGAAGTTCAACAGGGGGGAAATAAGAGGGCCAGCGGGCAGGCAGAAGTTCAACAGGGGGAGAAACCCTGGGATGGAATTTCTGTCCACGTGGGCATACTGGAAAGCCAGGCTGCTAGATCCTCCTGCTGGCGGTTAGACCTCAGAAAGGGAAGCGTTCCCCTCCCAGTCCGGTGGCAGAGGCACCACCAGGAACCACTTGGCCGGGTGGGGAAACAAGTCGAGCCCTTGCCAGGGTGAGCCTGCGCAGGCTGCAAGCCGCTGGGAAATGAGAGGCCTCAATAGAACCTCCAGAGCCAGGAGAAGTCTACCTCTGGATACCAGTTGCTGGGGAGGAGCTGCTTGCAGGCATTCTAAAGGGTTGTGCGTGTCCAGTGTGGGTGGGAACCTGAGTGCTTGGATAGACAGGTCCACCTTGGCCTGATCCAGGAACCAAGCTCTTCCAGTTGGAGGTGTGTGTGTGCACAAGGATGGGGTGGGTCTGCTTTAATGCCTGGACCAGAGTTTTCAGCCCTCCCTTTGCAGATTCAGACAAAACAAGAGGCAGGACCAGTGGAAATGTTACTTTATTACAGACAGTCAAAAAGCCATTTACAATGCAGGACAAGGAAGCCAAGTTTGATGCAGAAAGTGTAGCGGCAGTGCTTTGTTCACAGATTCATACTGATCAGACACGGACACATATATACACAGTCAGCGGGGGTGGGGGGAGATTAGTAAATAAGTGGTGCAAAACTACTTTGTGGCAACCAAAGCAGAGCTTGGCAAATATTTTGTGCTTAGTTTTGCAACTAAAGGTAAAGGTAAAGGTACCCCTGCCCGTATGGGCCAGTCTTGCCAGACTCTAGGGTTGTGCGCTCATCTCACTCTATAGGCCGGGAGCCAGTGCTGTCCGCAGACACTTCCGGGTCACGTGGCCAGCGTGACATTGCTGCTCTGGCAGGCCAGCGCAGCACACGGAACACCGTTTACCTTCCCGCTAGTAAGCGGTCCCTATTTATCTACTTGCACCCGAAGGTGCTTTCGAACTGCTAGGTTGGCAGGCGCTGGGACCGAACGACAGGAGCGCACCCCGCCGCAGGGATTCGAACCGCCGACCTTTCGATCGGCAAGTCCTAGGTGCTGAGGCTTTAACCCACAGCGCCACCTGCGTCCCAGTTTTGCAACTATTGGAAGGCAATTGAAACCTAGAAGTTCAGTTGTTTTGCAATTTTAGTCCATGTTTTCATTTTTTAAAAAAATTAAATTTCTATACCACCTTTCATCTAAAGATCACAAAAATACATTTAATAAGGAAACAAGAAACAAGAACACTCCCCCTACTACGCTGTTTAAAAGGCCAGATTGTTTAATTAGCCAAAGGCCTCGGAGAAAAGGAATGTTTTTGCCTGGGCAAGATGCAGTTTGACTTACTTTCCTTTGTATAAAACAAGCCTGAAGGAGACCCCCAACCTGCTCACAGGTCCTTGTATGATCAGTGGAAACAGTTGGTCCTGGCAAGTATTAACCACTCTCAATTCCAAACCTGATAATTGCCACCTGCCCAGATTTTAACTTGTCTGAATTAATTTTAAGGTGTATTTTAATTAATTGATGGCTGTTTTATGCATATTGTGTTGTTTTTATGATGTTAGCCACTCTGATCCCAGCTGGGGAGGGCGGGATACAAATAAATTATTATTATTATTATTATTATTATTATTATTGATATGTAATGAAGGCACCAGGCAAGCCTCCATGGAGAGAACATTCCACAAGTAGGGAGCCACCACAGAAAAGGCCCATTCCCGTGTTGCTGCTCTCTGGACCTCTCATGGAGGGGACACATGAAGAAGGGCTTCAGATGATGGATACAGTGTGCATATGAGGAGAGGCAGTCCTGGATGTATTGCGGTCCTGAGCCATTTGAGGTTTTATATGTCAAAACCAGCACTTCAAATTGGCCAGAAACTGATTGGAGCCAGTGCACTTGGGCCAAGATTGGCATTATATGTTCAAGTAAGCAACCTGGCCACTGAATTTTTGCATTAGACCACAGTCATAAATTGGATGTGCAAACTGGAGCTGAGGATTCCACAGCCATTTCTGTATTACCTGTTCCATAGGCATAGTGGTTCTGCTAACATCTAAGAGAAGGAACAGTGCAAGAGAAATTATGTATTTACATAAATGGAGCACCAGAAGTGGCAAATGGTAGTAGTTTCATTCATTGTTATCTTTCAGTCTTTCTGTCTCCTACTGAGCACAGTAGCTAAAAGTTGGGTGTCACGGGAGCTGGTTGAACCTTCTTTTAAACAGGGCAAAAATGTTTAGGAAAAGTCACCACCATGTGCTCACATGATGAACATAAACCTTTGGAGGTTTCAGTTTTCAGTGCTTCTCTTGATGTGGCAATTTCTCTACCCATTTAGGTGCATTTAGAGTGAATGCAGAAGTGAGTAAAATTTACACCGAGGAGGCACAGTGAACACAAGAGTCTGGCCTCTCATGAATAAAACATGGGATGGTAGGGTGCAGTTTATTTATATACTGTGCCACTTTTTTTTTTAGCCAGAGGCCCCCAAAGAGGTGAACAACATGAATGCATATTATTACAAAATATATATTTACAGCATTACTACAGTATATGTATACCTATAATAAAAGTACGATGCATCAAATAGAAAACAGTGGCAGGATTTTTAATTATCGACATTGCCGGGGCGGGGGGGGGGGAATAAAATGTTCCGCTAAGAGGAGATCCAAGGAGGTGCTCCATATCAGAAGTAGCCTCTTAACATTCTTAAAACATGAGTAAAATTAAGATGGGAGCCTGGTCTTAATCATCCTAACAGAGGGAGGTCCAATTTTTCGTACCAAGTGGAGCACGTGTACTTTGAAACAGAACCCATGGGACGCACACTGTCTTGCCACACAGGAGAGAGGAAGGCTAAAATTTTGGGAAGGAGGCATAAGGGCTCAGGGAGGGTCCTAGAGCCCTCTCACCTTCCCAAAGCTGGGGAGGAGGGCTGTAAGACCCTGTCAGAGCCCTCACATCTGGGTGGGTGTCAAATGATGCCGAGGTCCACACTTTGGACCACCCTGTCCTAGCATAAAGGTAAAGGTACCCCTGCCCGTACGGGCCAGTCTTGACAGACTCTAGGGTTGTGCGCCCATCTCACTCAAGACACTTCCGGGTCACGTGGCCAGCGTGACATCGCTGCTCTGGCGAGCCAGAGCCGCACACGGAACGCCGTTTACCTTCCCGCTGGTAAGCGGTCCCTATTTATCTACTTGCACCCAGAGGTGCTTTCGAACTGCTAGGTTGGCAGGCGCTGGGACCAAACAACGGGAGCGCACCCCACCGCGGGGATTCGAACCGCTGACCTTTCGATCGGCAAGCCCTAGGCACTGAGGCTTTTACCCATAGGTAAAAAAGGTCCTAGCATAACCTTCAGCAAACTCAACTGCATAGGTGACGAATTGGATGACCCACTGGCTTGATTCAAAACTCACTCACCTGGTATGTGCCACCTTTGATAGGTGAGTAACCCCCCCCCCTCAGCTCCCTGGCATCCAATGATTCCTTTTCAAGTTGCAATTCGGCACAATTGTGGTTGTTTTTTTTTTGTCACCGCAAGGTACCAAGGTGAAAAAAAGTACTGAACTGCAACCAGTGTCTGGAAAGGCAGAACTGCCGCTGACATCATAAGTTGTCAGGTGATGGACAGGTGGACATGGTTTGGACCCAAAAATGCCATGGACCTAATTGGGATGTGTGTGCCTGCAAGGTGAAGGTTCCACACCGCTGCTCTCAGGGCTGTAACCTCCTATTTTAATGTTTATCCCCTACCAAATACAGTGGTGCCCCGCAAGACGAATGCCTCGCAAGACGAAAAACCCGCAAGACGAAAAACCCGCAAGACGAAAGGGTTTTCCGTCTCGGAGGCGCTTCGCAAGACGAAGTTCCCTATGGGCTTGCTTCGCAAGACGAAAACATCTTGCGAGTCTCGCCATTCCCCCCCGCCCCGCTTTTTCCCCCCTTTTTCAAAGCCGCTAAGCTGTTAATAGCCTTTTAACAGCTTAGCCGCTAAGCCCGCTAAGCCGCTAATAGCGCTAAATCGCTAATAGTGCTAATCTGCTTAGCCGCCAATGGGGTTGCTTCGCAAGACGAAAAAACCGCTAGAAGAAAAGAATCGCGGAACGGATTCTTTTCGTCTTGCGAGGCACCACTGTAATAGAGAAAAGGAGAGGGGAGAAAATACTGTTTGCCGCAAGAGATGATGTATTGAGCTTAGCTGTATCCAATAATTCTAAGGCCCTGTAATTTTGAAAAGGAGAATAAAAGAGCCACAGGAGGAGCAACGTGCCCAAAATAGGTCCCAACCATTAAAGTCTGATGTGGCAGTCTAGGGAAACCACTACTGCTCAGAAGGGTTTGATCTCCCCCACCCCAAAAGCAGGTTATTTCAAAGAGGCCTCCACTGCCTAATTTGCCTGGGCACAAAACTTCAGTATAAGCTAGTGCTCGGCTCATTGAGACTCTGGAAAATATCCTTCCACAGGGAGTCTAGCCTGACATGCAAGTCTTCCAGTGGCGTGGAGTTTTCCTGGAACTCTTCCAAGTATGAGGTTGTGGGAGACAGCTTGGACTTCATTTCTTCCATCTCCCTGTCCGTGGTCCTTGTGAAGTTGTCTATCTGAAGGATTGTATCTCTCCTGAACTCCTCAATTCTCTCCTGAACCTCCTGAGCCATATTTTCCAGGTCCACAGACAGCTGGTGGTTTTCTTGGCTCCTGTGGGAAGGATGTGCAACCCACGTGTTGGGGTGAAGGCTCAGCTGCACCTTGAGTTGCTCTAGGTTCCTTTCAATTTGGAGATGGAGAACCTTCACATTGCGGGTGAGCTTGCCGGAGAATTCTTGTAGATACTGACTGAGTCGCTGGCCCATAACCGCAGTGTGAGGTGTTGTGCTTTTGTGGAGTTCTTCCATGGTACGGTGGATCTCAGTTGCCAACCTGTCAGCATATGGGAGGAAAATCTCCTTCACCTGGTCAATAAAGGTAGCTGCCTTTTCAGCATAAGAGGCTGTAAACTTCTGGACCGCACCTGGAGTTTCCATCAACAGACCCTCTGCGTTGAGGTTGGGCCTGAAATGCTGGTGCAATTCTCTTGCGCATAGCGAGACCTGTTCCATCAGCTGCTCTGTGAGGGGAGTCAGGCGGAGACGGAGACCTTCTAAGTTCTGGCTGATTTTTTGGTGCGCCTCATCCATATAAGGAGAAAGTTTCCTCCGGAGGCTTTCGACCTCCCTCTGGATGATCTGCCGAAGTCCATCGGCATCTTGGTAGAACTGGGGTTGGAATCCCCTGTGTACTGGGGTCAACTTCTCAAGGACGTGTCCCACGTAGTTGGCTCCATCTTGGAGACTTTCCTTCATGTTTCTGAACAAAAGAGAGAATGTACACATTTGCAGAGGGGACACAGACCTGAAAACAAAGTCTTGAGTCTGAGAGCCCATTACAGTGGTACCTCGGGTTACAGACGCTTCAGGTTACAGACTCCACTAACCCAGAAATAGTACCTCAGGTTAAGAACTTTGCTTCAGGATGAGAACAGAAATCACACAGCAGCAGTGGGAGGCCCCATTAGCTAAAGTGGTACCTCAGGTTAAGAATAGTTTTAGGTTAAGAACGGACCTCCAGAACAAATTAGGTTCTTAACCAGAGGTACCACTGTATTAGGATCGTACCAATCCCAATTATTGTATCTCATTAAACAGACAAACAGGAATGCAAGTACGGTGGTACCTCGGTTCTCGAAAGTAATCTGTTCCAGAAGACTGTCCAAGTTCCAAAATGTTTTAAAAAGGTGGTCTGCAAATTTCATTGAGGAAATTGAGAAACACACAGTGGAAGCCGTCCGACTTCCGAGGTACATTTGAAAATGGAAGCATTTACTTCTGGGTTTTCGGCGTTTGAGTTCCGAAACGTTCGTCAGTGGAGACATTCGAGAACTGAGGTACCACTGTATATGTTCCACACAACACTGGTTATTTCATTTGATTGATTTATTAAATTTGTATACCACCCTTCACCCATAGATCCCAGGGCAGTTCAAAGCATAAAAATACAGGATTAAAAGACAAAATACATAATAAAAACAATAACCCCACCCACACTGCATTTCAATCCCCTCTCGCCAAGTCACTGTCTAGCCGCCTCTGTTCCAAATATGTCCTCCTTTGCAGATCCACCAGGCCACATACCAGGGGTGCCAACTTGAATAAAATATTTTGGGGGTCAAGATAAGCCCCGCCCTGCATAATTGAATGGGAATGCCCATCAACTTTGTGGTGACCCAGCCCCCTTAAATATTTTATTGTGGGGGCCAAAGCCCCCACAGTCCCTAGGAGTTGGCTCCTAGGCCAACCACATCAGCAATGATGCTGTCTCCAGCATCTCCACGTATTGAAGCTGCAAGATACCTTCCCACACCCAGGACTCCTAGTGCCCATTACTTATTCCTGCATCCTTCCTAGCCATTATATGATAGGCAGCTTCAACTTCACTGAGCAAGGATGGAATGAAGGGATGGTGGACTCTCCTTTACTTCTATGCTGCTCGGTATCAAGGCAAGCAGTTAAATTATTGATTAAATAAATAGGTTGCTATGTATTAGCAAGCAGGTTTTCGTCTTGTTTTAAACGTATTTGTTGTTTTTGTGTTTTAAGCTGTTTTTAATTATCTTGAGATGGTGGTTTATAAGGCGATTAATCAATCAATCGGAACACGGGTGGCACTGTGGGTTAAACCACAGAGCCTAGGACTTGCCGATCAGAAGGTCGGTGGTTCGAATCCCCATGACACAATGAGCTCCCATTGCTCGGTCCCTGCTCCTGCCAACCTAGCAGTTTGAAAGCACGTCAAAAGTGCAAGTAGATAAATAGGTACCGCTCCAGTGGAAGGTAAACGGCATTTCCGTGTGCTGCTCTGGTTCGCCAGAAGCGGCTTAGTCATGCTGGCCACATGACCCGGAAGCTGTACACTGACTCCCTCGGCCAATGAAGCGAGATGAGCGCCGCAACCCCAGAGTCGGCCATGACTGGACCTAATGGTCAGGGGTCCCTTTACCTTTACCTTTAATCAATCAATCGACATCGTCATCCCCTGGGAGCCCAAACAACAGCGGAAGCCTCTACCTGTGGTCAATAGGGGAGACTCCTTCCCCTCACTAGTTAATATTAAGGGCTGGTGAACCCTCTCACCTCCCTCTTACCCCAGAACCATTTCTAGCTGTGGGCTGCAGATGCGCAGTTCCTTCTGTCACTTGAGAGGATGTTACAGTGGAAAGGCAGGATATAATCTTTCAAAATAAAAACTTTAGATGATCCTGGCTGCTGGGTCAGGCCAATGGAAGCCTATCTAGTCTAGAATCCTGCTCTCACAGTGACAGGCAAGAGGCCCCATTGGAAAACCCACAAGCAGGACCCCATTTCAGTCAATGTTCCCAGCACAGTTTCCTTAGGCCTCATCAGGGTCTGATCCTGTTGGCTGTACTTGCTTTCTTCTGCCAATGCATCAGATGATCTCTCCCCATAATGGTTCCCACCCTTCACCCTACAAATCAGGGAATGGAGGGGTGGATAGGAAAACCTACAAATTGTGTCCTTTGTTCTGTGAGAGCCAGTGTGGTGTAATGGTTAAAGTGTCAGCCTCTAGGACCTGGGAAACTAGGGTTCAAATCCCCACTCAGCCATGAAGCTCACTGGGTGACCCTGGGCCAGTCACTGTCTCAACCTAAGCTCCCTCACAGGGTTGTTGTGAGGATTAAAAAAATAGGAAAAGGGAGAACCTCCTTAGAGGAAAAGGTGGACGATAAATGTCTGAAATGAAAAAGTACACAATCGTACTGATAAGCTTAGAGCAAATCAGACTCACTTCACCCCCTGCCCTCCTTTCAGCTGCTGGGCTTGCTCTGTGCTGCCCTTGTCGTGAGTCAATTGGCTGAAGTAGTCCCAGACGCGGCTCCGCTGAAGATTGGCTGGAGAAGCTGTGCAGATGAGGCAAAGAGGAAAGGACAAAAAGTAGACAGTCTATGGAAAAGCCAACCCACTTACAACCAACAGAGTTCTCTCACATTGCTGGATTCTCACACTGAGAATGTTGCACAACAGTGCAGGCAACCAGGAAGGTCACCTCTGCAGCTCAGGGTCATTCCTGTTCTTTAATGTCACTGCTAGAGGGGTCTCCGGGGGGGGACCCCTCTGCACCCAGGTGTCCAGAAGCTGAATCTATTTGGCACCCTGCTGATTTGGACTTGTGACTAGAAGCAGAGCATTGTAAGCACTGTGTTAAGGCTATAGCTCACAAACACATGCTCAGAGGTCACCGAGCTGTCCCTAACATAACCCAGAACCTCCCCACTCTCCAAATGCACCTGTATTATTATTATTATTATTATTATTATTATTATTATTATTATGAGCCTAACCTGAGAAGGTGGCCAGCAGCACTGCTAGGAGGGCAGCTTTGATGCACATGATGAAGCGAGGATTCTGCAACAAGGCATTAAAGGGACATGTTAGCTGTGCAGCCGCAGCAAGCAAGGATCTCCGCTGTCAGACTTGGCTGAGTATGGATGATGCTCCTTCCAGGCTGTAAGTCCATCTGCATGATTATCCCTCATTTCAATTTAAAAACAGAGGAATTGGTTGAACAGAAAGGTGTACTTTGTCTGCTTGGAACCCAAAGTTCACATGCCAGATTGTAACCACGTTTGCCTTACCTTATTCCTTCAGGTATTTTGCTCAGATGGTGGGATTGTTCCCCCTGTGTCCTCCTACTTGTATGCTGGGCACTGGTCTCCTCGTGGTTGGCTCCTGTAGATGCCCTGCTGCTGCACCTTTTATATATACCAGGAAGGATTCACTGCCTTGCACACAGCTGCAGAGCCAGCCAGCCTGGCCCTCGTTCCGTGTAAACACAACACGAAGGTTGAAAGACATTGACAAAGAGATGACGTCTGCATCTGTCGTGAGCAGAGGACAGAGGGCTTACTTTGATCAGGGGAGGTGGTGGTTTCTGTGATAAGGGGGGTCTCTTTTGATCGACCCAGCTCTCTATACTTGGGGCGCAAGCAGGAATCTCCTGTGGCCTTTGCCTCCCCATCCCAGTTATTCAGTCTTCTGCAACTCCTGGCCCAAGCACAGGGGAAAGCATCATGGGACAATTAGTCCAAACTGGGTGAGAGTTCAAGGAAAGGAAAACAGAGAGAGTGAACCCTGTGGCGGGTGGGGGCTAACTGCATCCCAGGCAATGCCACCCTGGCCAAGGGAGCATTGAGATGCAGGAAGGTGAAGCTGGAGTGGCTTTTTTCGTTTGTGTTGCTCTGCCTCGTTCAAATCTTTTGTTTCTTCATTTCATGTAAAACTCTCCCACCAATGAGGCTCAGTGGTTTGCAGTCCAACCGGGCAGGAAATGGCTTTGAAGGAGCAAGCTCAACTCTTTCCAAGGGAGGGTCCCAGCACTGTGAAGGGGTGAGCATGGCCTCTAGCAAGAGATGCACGTAAACCGACAAGAGATTTCTTACAAAACATAAAGCAGGGCATAAATTAAATAATAATTACCCTAGGTATCTGTGTATAAGACAGTGCTTTTTATTATAAAATAAAGTTAAAAATTAGGGGTCGTCTTATACACAGATAGTGCTGAAGGGGGGTGGGCGATTGTTTGCAGCCGCGAGCAGGAGATTGTCAGTGGCGATTGGGCAAGTGATTGGTGGCTATGGCAAGGCCAGCTGTTGATTGGCTGCGGCGGCGGCAATTGGGCGGGTGATTTGCGGCTGCTGGCTGCTAGCGAGCAGATAATTGGCATCTTTGGCAGCACGTGTGATTGTCTGGCGGGTGAGCAATTTTAGGCAACCCCCCAAAAAAAGCTCAACAGCCCTGGGCAACCCCCCCAAAAAAAAGCTTAACAATTCTGGGCATTTTCTTAATTTGGAGTTGTCAGGGAACTGCCATCAGTGCCGGAGGGAGAGAGCAAAATCCAGAGGGATTCCAGAGAGCGTCCCGGGAGTGGGAGAGGCAGCCCATCTTCTGGGGAAGAGAATCAGTGTAGCACCAGTGGAGAAGGGGGGCAGATGGGGGAAGCGGCGAGGCGGTCCCATGACTCCTTGCCGGGGACCAGCAGGGAGAGTAGAGGTCCTCCGCTGCCTACGCCCTCCTTGAGCAGAAGGCTTTCGCGCAGAGAGAGTAGGAAGAGACTAGGCGTCAAAGAGCTTCTTTGCTGGAAGAAGTTTAAGAAACGCCCACTGACAGATCCTGCCAGCGATTGAGACAGCCACGAGAGAGTGGCTGTCCGGACAGAAAAGGTTCACTCAGGCAACCCAGCCAGGTGTTTGCACTGGCTTACGCACGAGCAACCCCTAGAACCATTACAGGAGTCTCCAAAATGGGGGTCATCTTACACACGGGGGCGTGTTATACACAGAAAAATACGGTACCCTGAGCAGGATGGGCAGAGTTACTGCAGGTTAAGGTGATGCTGAGAACAAAAGCTGATACCCTCTCTCCACTGACCACCACAAAAATGCATCTTTCAGGCCATTCTCTCTCAACTTTACTTTGAGTAAATGACTTTTCTACACTACAGTTTTATGCCATTTTTGGACTACCATGGCTTCTTCCCTGAGAACATTGCTATAGATCTCCTGCAGTTCCCCCCAGGGTTCTCTAGGAAGAGGGAACATTGCTTAAGCCAGTTTAAACCTGTAGTGTGTTCATGCAGGCATGGAAAGCAGCCTCAGAACTAGATCTCCATCTTGTACCAATGGCTGGGCTAAAGTAGCAGCACCAAAAAAGGCTCAAGCAAGGGAAAGAAAGGGCTTATCCATACTCCCTCTTGCAGGCCGCCAGGTTCCGCCCAAGATCGTGGGCGCCCAGCATGCATGCATGACGTCACGCATGCCGCATATGACATCACACACTGGGAGGAGCCCCGGTGCGCCCTCTGAAAGGCCCAGTGGGGCCTGCTGTAACTGCAATGGGCTCTATCGGGCCCATCCGCTGCTGTGACAGGCTCTGTCGAAGCCCACTACTGCAGCGGAAGGGCCCAACGGAGACCGCCTGGCTATAGAATATTGAGGGGCCCTGGCCCCCTCACTGAAAGTTTTGTGGGTACTTGGGCACCCATGGCCCTGCTGAGATGGCGCCAGTGTCCTCTTATCCCCAAGGTAAAGCGCTCTTTAGCACTCAGTCAAAAAGCACAGGATTGCTGTATGTTCCCACTGAAAACTAAAGAACAGGTTTTCCCCGGAAGAGGAGTGGGACAATGGAGAAACCACTCTGACCTGAACTTTCTGGGCATGAGACAAATGGGAGATGAGGGTGAGCCCTAATTCAGTGTTCACATGAGCTGCCGTGGCACCAAATTTGTAAATTGACAGGCATGTGGGGAGAAATAACTGCTTTGAGAGAAAACAATCCAATGACAGCAACCCTCCCCCACCTCTTCCATGTCTGTAGGGAGTTTGGGGTGCACCCCCCAAAATCTTCAGCCATTCAGAACACATCCCTGGCCAAGGCTCTCAATGACCACAGAGCTATTCCCAGCAAAAACCTCTGTGCGAATATTCAGAAGAGGTCAGAGTGCACAGAGCCAGCCAAGACCAGCTTGTGGCCAGGGGAAGTTCCAAGCAGTCATTGCTCCCAAGCTGGTATCAAAGGGCAGCCCAGCCAGCCCCCAATTCTCCCCAAAGGAGAGGCCTCTCCATATGCAACTCACCCCCACCAGCAATCTCTAGCCCATATCTTCCTGGGCAGAAATGCACTCCCTGGTGCTGGAGGGGAAATACATTTTCTTCCCCGAAGATGACCTCTGACCTTTCCAAAAGTGGTTTCAACCAATAGATTCAACTTACAAGAAAGAAGATTGCAAACTAAACATTAGGAAGAACTTTGTGATGGTAAGAGCCTTTTGACCGTGGAACAAACTACCTCAGAAGGTGATAGGCTCTCATTCATTGGAGGTTTTTAAGCAGAAGTTGAATGATCATCTGTCAGGGATGTTTTAGTTGAGATTCCTGCATTTTATGGGGTTGGACTAGATGACCCTTGGTGTCACTGGCAACTATACAATTATATGAATCTATAGTGCTCTGCATGGTCCAGCTCCTTTCACCAAAGCAACCTTCCACAACTTGGTGCCCTCCCTCATTTTTAGACTCCATGTTGGCTTGGGGGTGAGGTAGTGTTGATAGGAACTGCAGTCCCAAACATCTGGATGTCATCAACTTGCAAGAGATCACACTAAAGGCCGAAGCACCCCAAAGCTCCTCGCGCTTTGAAACTTCATCTCCCCACTTTGTCCTTCCCATGGTCTGTAATTAGCAAACTCCAATCTTGCTTGATCAAAGCTATGTGCCTTGCAAGGTTCCTCAAAGGTTTCCATGCTGCTAGATCAAAGCTTTGCTCTCATCTCCTGTCAAGCCAGCTCAGATAATCTTTGCTAAAATGGAGTCGTTAACTGCGGACATGCAAACCTAGTGATAATTTTGCCTTTTCTACTAGCAAGCCAAAATTCTTATTTGAAAACAGAGAGGAGTCTTAAACCTGCTGTTCAAATGCACATCACAGCAAGAGGAGCTACTTGAAAGATGTTGCTTGTAGCATGGGGCATTTTAATACTTTTGCCCATCCATCCACCCATTTCTTTAAAAACTCTTGGATAGATGCCATTTGGACCCAGTTCCTGGTCCCCAGTTCCCCACCCTCCCACCATTGCTGGTGGGAGCACCATCCCCACCCCAGTTTCTGCTGAAAGCACATAGACTCTCCCTCTCTAGGTCCCATGTAAGCTTTTTCTCCCACCCAATGTGAAATTTCATTTCAGCTGAAAGAACCTGCACTGTGTCAGACATTGCTTTGGTGGCTGATACCTTTCCCTCTAACAACTGAATGCTTGTGAACATTCCTTGGCATCACACTCAATCAGTGGTGCTGCAGTGGGGAGGCATTCCCAGAGGGGCAGGTAGCAATCAGGTTGCAGCCTATTTGTGTAACAGATTCCCTCCCAAAAAAACACACATCTGTGAATTTATCCTTTTTGCCACTTTTGCAATAAAAGTCTCCCTGGGTGGGGGGATGCTCAGCTCCATCCCCACCATTCAGCCATTTTCCCCTTCAAAAACACTTTCATTTGGGATCAGATTCCTCCATCCCACCCACCCCTTCCCTTCCAAGGTGGACCAGGCATTAAGAGACAAAAGAGCAACTTGCAGGTATTGCTGAGGTGTTCGTTTATTTCAGCAGAGAGAGTGTGTGTCTGGGCACACAACAGTGCATGGAGATTGTTAGCAGCAATGGACAGAGAGGGTAATAGAAATGTGGCCGCCAGCACTGCCCCAAACATTCAGGGGCATTGGGGGCTCCAGTGGGTCACAGCCAGTTCCTCACCCATTTATTCTGGGTGGCAGCATCCTGAATCTTGCCAGGAGTCTTGTTTTCGGTGGTGTTTCAGTGGTGGCTTCAAGCAGAAGACATGCTGGGGCTGTGGTGTCAGAAATATAGGGTGCCTTCTACTATTCCTCCAAAGCGGGGAGAGGGGCCTTTTCATTGGCCATCTGCTTAAGGCTGTCAAAGAAGGAATTGAACCTGTCCCTCACATCTTTCTCCAGGAAGCTCAAGTGATCCTCCGTCTCACCAGCATAAGGCTTCAGCTTCTTCTTCATCTCCTCCACCTTCTGCACCAGGAGCCTGTTGAAGTTCTCTCCATAGGGCCCCACCACCTGGCGGAACTCCTCGATTTGCTGGTCCATCTTTTTGTTCAAGCCTTCCATGTAGGGCGTCAGAGATTCACGCAGGTCAGCCGCGTCCCCCTGCAGCTTCTCCCTCAGCTCCTGGGCGAGAGGGCTCAGCTTGAGCTGCAGATCCTCGGTCCTCTCCAAGAGCTGGGCCCGCAGATCCTCAATGCTCTTCTTCATCTGGAAAGACAGTCCCTCCAGTTGGTGGTTCAGCTGCTCTTGGACGTCCTGGGTGTAGGGAGACAGGCTGTTCCGCAGCTCAGCCATGGTTTGGTCCACCTTGGCCTTCAGCTCATCAGCATAGGGCGTCAGGCTCCCTTTGATGTCCTCCACCTTCTGGTTGACCTGCTGCTGCA